TGTTAATCATTTAACAGAAGTTTCTAAAGTCATCATGGAAATTTCATGTCCTATTGCCATTTATTGGCTCAGTAATAGATAAAGGAGACAGTTCTGACCTATGATGAGTAAGAGACTCTCTGATGGAAGGCATCTGGGAAAGATTTCCTCCTTGATAAGTAAAAGCTGCAAGCAACCTTTGCTTTATCTTTTAGGTGATACTGTGTAATTCTTTGAGATGCAATGCTTTAAGATGGAACTACAAAAGGTCAACAGGATGCAGAGATTCCTACACAGATCATGAATAACCTTGAACCACTACCAAGGAGGGCATCCAGAGCTCAAGAAAGTAGAAGCAGTCCACCCTGGATATAGGAAATAATGGGGCATTTTCTCTGCAGAAGTAGAGAATTTAAAAACAATAATTAAACACATTAACTGTCAGTCTCCTTTTTATTATCCTCCTGTACTGATGATTCTAAATAATGTTAGTGATAAGATACCCCTCCCCTACTCAAGTCCTCTGGTATGCTAGGGCTAGTAAGCCTACAACCGATTATGTCAAACATCTAGGTACTGGAGATAATTAAAAGATTTCTAATTTAAGCAACTTTTATATTACTTTTTTATTACTTGCAACTGCTAAAGTTGTCCATAAAAAAATAAATTAAAAAAATAAAGTAGACCCAGAAGGTCAGGTTAATCCAATACTGAAAAGACAGCCATGAACAACTCCTGCTTTGAGGACTCAGAAGGCACCTGGATCTCAGGGCTCCCACGGCTCTAATCATACAAGGCTTGGCCAGTTATGGTTCCCCTTCCTGTCTGTCCAGAGGATTCTTCCTATGTGCTACCAGTATTACTATATTAAACGCCCTTTGTATTGATTAGTGTAAATAATTTCTTTGGGTTTGTAACCAAAACCAACTACAAAACAGAACCTAGCCTTTATAACAATTAAATTACAAGAGACTCCTCCATTATAAGAAATTGATTGAATTCACATTGCAAAATCTATACTAAGGATACATCAAACAGATAAAAATATGCTTAACATAGCATTGTTTATAATTAAATTTACAATGTATCTAAATGCTAACAAAAGGAGAATAAATTAATGAGTTTTTGAAGAATATACAATGATGTAGAAATATGCAGCCAATGTTATGTGTAAAAAGGCAAATGATTTCTATATGTGTGTGTGTGTATATATATATATGGTATGACACAAATATTTGAAAATATAAATATATATGTAGAATAATGCTAAATAGAAAAAAAATGAGATATCAGCGGTTATTATTCCTGAATAGTGAAATCAAGGGCTATCAATATTTTCTCACACATTTTCAAAGCTTCCAACTCTATAATAAAAACTAATTTAAAATAATTAAATTAGCATACATTTCCTTTTCATATATTAGTATACCATGAAAATATACTAGGTTTCAGGAATTATTTTTAGGGTGGGGCTATATATATATATATATATGGATATGTATATATGATAGAAATAAATTCAATAGGTTAAGCTGAACTACATCAGGAACACTTTAACAAATGGTTTTAAATATTCATGATAATTTGCATTTTATAAAAAAAGAATATTAACACATTCCAGGAAAAGCTCTCATAACAAAAAAAAGAAGAAAAAAATATGTAATTCATCTTAGAAAATGCTTTCTTTTTAAGAGAACAAAAAAGACTAAAAATTATTTAATTCTTTGCTGTTACAACACTATAATTAAAACCTGAGTTATGCTTCTGAGGATATGGTTTTATGAGGGTATTTGCACAATCCTGTGGGATGCCATTCAAATCTGTGATGAGAGAATAATCTGGTCTTCATGTGGAATCTCAAGCTTGTCTGAGACTGAGGTATGTTTATACTGTGTTTTGTGGCTTTTTTGCTTCTTTGGATTACACTACCAACTGCATATACTATTAGTTGAATTATCATATTGTATCTGAAATCAATTAAATTTCCCATTAATATTTGTTCCCAAGTGGAGAAAATTTTGGTTGGAAAAGAAGTGCAGGGAAATCAAGAGATATAAGTTTATTAGAAGGAAAATGTTTATTCACTTAAAAAGTCAGGAAAAATCCTAGACTTTCAGCTACTGTTTTCTATTATGCTTTGACCCATGAATAGGAGTTTCTTTTCTAGACAGAAGTAAACTGTTGAATTGTGAAGATTATAAGGCATGAGGCTCATAATCCCAGAGTAGACCATTGATGCTACTATATAACAACACCTTTCTTCCAGAAAGGCCACCAATAAAAGGCTCCTTATATCAAATGAATTATACTCAGTATTATTCTATTTCAGAAAATTGACAAGAGCAAATATACAAATTAAAAGATCAAACACATACCAGATACAGCGAGGAAGTCATCAATGCTTGTAATGTCATCTACTGCTTCAGTGAGGACATGTATATGATTCTCCCATGTGCGCTTGTACATTTCCATTGTGTTTTTGACCACTTGACTTTTGGGTCTTGCAGCCAATGCAAGTGCAGCATTAATAATCTGTAAAGATGTAGAATGTTTACATAGTGATTTCTTTGGGAACAGTCACCATTGTGCAGATGACAGATATTATTTTTTCTTTTGAAGACTAAACACATTCATCTTTAACGATAGGAAAAATGGTAAAATGCCTCAATGTGTAACTTCCTCTTTGCTTCCGTAATAATTTAGCTTTATTTTTGACAATAATTAATTTTAAAACTATTTATTGTCACCACACTAAAGACTGGAGGAGATAAAAAGATAATTGGTGTCTGCCTTTTAGGAGTCTGTATATTACTCAATGGGAGGGGAAAGGTATAAGAATAACTTAATTCAGTATGCAATAAATGTTATAACAGCAAATAATGGTCAACGGGCTTTAGACAGCAGAGAGATTGCCTTCAGCAGAAGTGCCAAGGAAAGGCTTCAGGGAAGAGTGATATTTTAACAGGGGATTTGGATTCACATTGCACAATTCGGTAGTGAATGCCTACTATATGCAAAGCATTGGAATAAAAGTTTGAACTTCTTTGAGGGCTTACAGAATGTCACCAGTAGATATTAATTCATTTATTCATTCAATACTTCAAATATAAATCAACTGTCTTTTATATGTCAATCACTGTTAGATTTAAGGTATATGGCAATGAAGAAGATACAAACAGAAATCACTGCTTTTGTGGAGGTTATATTCCAGTCAAGAGTGGCAGGCAAATAGATTAAATAAGTGAAATATATAATCTGTTAGATGGTTATAAGGATTTAAGGAGAAAAAATAGAAAAAGAGTATAGGGAATGGGGTGGTGGGAGAGGTAGGAGGTTTGAAATTTTAGGAAGGCCTATACTAAAGCAGACATTTGAGTAAAATCAGTGATGGGAATGAATTTTGGGACAAAGAAATGGCAAGATTCAAGAAAAGACAAGACAGGGGAAATGCTGTGAGAAGGGTAAGCAGTTCTATCTAGAGTCCTATCAGTCCTGCACTATGCAAAAGGGACCAGCAGGAATCCTTGACCATCCTGCTCAGAACTGTTGCCTTATTTGGAAGCCACTGGAGAGCTATGTTGCCTTCTGGACAATTTCTCAGAACTACACTTCAGAAAAATCAATTTCACAGCCAAGCATAGGAAGCTACTGCAAGAGGTTATAGGAGTGAGAAAGAACCTGAACTCCAATGCGGGAAGTAATGAAAAGGACATGATGGGACTTTCAACTAATTAAAGGAGGATGAGGTTAGGTCAAAGATTATTGCCAGGAATACCAGGTAGTCACTAAGGAATCTTTGGTAAACACTATTTAAGGACATGGAAATACATCCACAACAGTGCAATAATAGTAGAGTATAAAACATTAAGCTTTATCAGATGCCATTTCTACATCTAAAAATGTACAAACATGCTAGACACATGCTGAAATAAAAGTAGGGCAAATTCACACAACAAGTAATGGTTCTCTCTGGGTGGTGGAATTTCTAGTGCTTTTTCTTTTTTTGTGAAATTTTCAGACTTTTTATGGGAATATGTTTTAGTTGTATACTCAGAAAAATGAAGTTATTCTTCATAATTCTTCAAAGCAAGATGATTACTAAAGTTTTTTTTTTTTTCTTTTTTCCATGAGTAATAGGGAGAATGGTTACAATATTGTTAAAGAAGGGCAGGTTGGAGAGTTCAAAATCAATCAGGGTGGTAGAGGCAGATGTGTGCTGCTGCTTTGGAGGATAGTGTTGATGAGGGGTATTAGATGTCAACTTTCCTATTATAGAAGTTGACTTTGAAGTGACTCTTGTCTCTCCATACAAATTACAAAGTTTGCAATCAGAGATGTGGAACTGGAGTTCATTTTTTTTAAGTTGTTATTCCCATTCTCTTCATTTGTTCAAACATTGAAGCAAATTATTTTTATTTTTTGTTTACTTTTTATTTTTTTATTTCAGCATATTACGGGGGTACAAATGTTTTGGTTACATATATTGCCTTTGCCCCACTGAGCCAGAGCTTCAAGCATGTCTATCTCCCAGACAGTTCAAATCACACCTGTTAGGTGTGAATATACCCTTCCCATCCTCCCCCTTGCCCTACCTGCCTGACATTCGATGCATGTTACTACTATATGTGCACATAAGTGTTGATCAGCTAATACCAATTTGATGGTAAGTATATATGGTGCTTGTTTTTCCATTCTTGTGATACTTAGTAGAATGGGCTTCAGTTCTATCCTGGATAATACAAGAGGTGCTAAATCATCATTGTTTTTTGTGGCTGAGTAGAACCCCTTGGTATACATATACCAAATCTTATTACTCCACTAACATACTGATGGACACTTGGGTTGTTTCCACATCTTTGCAATTGTGAACTGTGCTGCTATAAACATTCTAATGCAGATGTTAATGTGTAGCATCACATCAATGTTATCAGATTATGCACAGGACACTAGTGACATCACAATGAAAAAGTTGTCATCACAGTTTCTATTCTAAGACACCCTGAAGTCTGGGAAGGGAATCAGCCAAATTCTAGATAATTGCAACATACCAATGGTTCCTGAACTTTAATCTATATCAGAATCACCTGGAAGGCTTAATAAACTCCAGATTCCAGAACTACATCCCTAGAGTTGCTGATTTAGTTGATTTGGGAAGGAACCTGAGAATTTGCATTTTTAAAAAGTTCCTAGGTGATACTGATGCTACTCGTCTGGGGACCTCACTCAGAATGACTACAATATCTTACTATAATGGTAAGTGCCATCGTGCAGGGGCTATCATAAGGGTAAGCACAAGATGCTTTATAACACGTGGGAAAGGTACTCAACTTCATAAAAAAAAAGATGTCTCAAAAGACTAAAATCTTAAAAATAAGCAGAAATTTGTATAAACAGTGATGATATCCTTTTAGAAAGAGATAATAACATGTGCAATGACCTAGCAGTGAGATAGAGCCTAACTCCACCTCCTGGGGAATGTTCGGAAGAGATCAAGCACTTTCAGGATAGTATGGCTACAGATTCCTGAGGAATGGTCAGCAGAGAAGGGATAGTGATAGAGTTGGAAGAAAGAAAATACAATGGAAAGTGGGAGGAAAGAATACAGGAGGAAAAGATTAAGTAGAGAAAACATGAGAGAAGGAACATGAGAGAAGGAATGAAAGAAGGAATGAACATGAGAGAAGGAATCTTCAAAGAAGGTAGAAAAGTCAGGAATTAAAGGGTCAGAAGATGAAGAACAACAGCTTTTTAAAAGGTCAAATGCTATAGGAGAGTCAAGAATGATGATGAGTAAAAAAGGCTGTTGAATCTGGAAAACAGAAGTCATGTGCATAAAAAAAATGTTGGACACAGGATTCAGATTTCCCCAAAATATAATAACAATAAAAAGCAGTTTTTTCTACCCTGTAACCTAAAGGCTGTGCCTTAAATGACTTTCTTTTAACAAATTATTGGAAGTAGAGGAGGAAAGAAATTAGTTGGTTGGAAATATTATGTTGATATTCTCTTCTTTTATTTCTTTTTAATAAAAGAGAAACACATTAAATTTTAAGAACACATACACTAACTTTAGAAATAACTACTGTGAAGTATTCCTTGACTTCAGTTTTAGAGTTTTATTAACCTATTAACTTACAATGTACCTTTGTGTACACTGTAAAGGCTCTGGTCTCTGGTGTTTCATTGTTGCTGCAATTGGACAACTGAGTACACATGTGGTTGGGCTGAAATTATGCCTTCACAGCAACCCATGCTTTTAAACCTTCAGTGGGGATATGGAGTCATGGATATAAGACAGGCTATATTTTGTAAGAACATTTTCAGCTCTGCCACTGATCCAATTTATCTGATTCAACACTGCACACTATGAGAAAGCTTTACCTTACTTGACACTCCTGATATTTAGCTTAAATCTAAAAGCAAATTCAGTTCAGAAGAATTATTCCAACCCACTTTAAGGCAGAAGAAATATTCATGCCCATGTCAGACTCCTAGCATTTTAGCTATATGTAAAGAGAGAGAGAAAAAAAGAGTATTCTTAAATATTCATGCATAACTAAAGAATTTGAAATGAGTTATGTTACTTTCTGAGGCTTTTTTTTTTTAAAGATTATGGTAGAGATGTATATACATGTCAGAATGCCCCCGCCCCCTGAAAATCATCTTTGAAAGAATATCTTTAAGTTTAGGCTTTATTATATCTTAATTGGATTATTTTAATAGCCTTTTAAATAGTTTCCTATTTCCAGTTGCTATTTGCTCCAAGCCATTGTCCTTATTCCAAACACATTTTCTTTCTCAAATGCAGAAGTGATCATGCTCCCTACTTTCTGATTACCTTTGATAACCTTCTAGTTGACTAAAGACAAAATCCAAATTCCTTTTCACTAATCACAGTCAAAACATCAATAGGTTGACCCTTTCCTACAGTTCACTCTGTTGTAATAATCTCCCTCATTTCAGTCTTTGTTCCAGCCAGTTTTCAGTCCACTTCCTTATCACATCACACATCTTCATACCTGTGTGACTGTGCTCTTACACCTGAATCCACTTTAGCCCTTGCTTTATTCCTTTCCCTGCTCTACCTTTTTGGCACCAGGTACCAAAGCTCCAGGTTTCATGGAAGACAATTATTTCACTGACAGGGAGCGGGGAAAGTGTGGACCCAGGCAGGTGTAGCTTGGGCAGTGATGCAAGCAATGGGGATGGAGAGCTGCTATAAATACACTCACTCACTGCTCACTTCCTGCTGTGTGGCCCCTTTCCTAAGTGTCATAGAAGACAATTTTTCCATGTAGGTGTGGGGGGAGGTGGGGCGCTGGAGCTCTGTGGCCTAGTCCCTAACAGGCCAGAGACCAGTACCACCAGGGATTAGGAACTACAGTAGGTTTATCCCATCTCAGCAAACATTTATTTCTAACAAACCCACGGAAATATTACCACCTACAGTGCTTCCCTGAAAATAAGACCTACCCATAAAATAAGCCCTAGCAGGATTTCTGAGCATTTGTGCAATATAAGCCCTACCCAGAAAATAAGACCTAGTGATGGGCGTGGCTACGCAGCATATCTGCACAACCCATGCATTTCCTGGCTGAGCGGTAAAGAAGACAAGTAGCCCTTTTCATCTGCCCCATGAGAGTTCTATTGCTTGACATGAGAGATTGGGGCCAATGCTTCTAAAGGAAATAGAGTCACACAAAATTAGGATGGAATTTGGGGTTTGGAGAGTTATGATGATGTTCCAGAAGAAGACAACTTAACTATATTTGAATAAATGTAGATTGTTGTACCATAGTTAAAAAAATAACACATCCCCTGAAAATAAGCCCTAGGGTGTCTTCTTGAGGAAAAATAAATATAAGACCCTGTCTTATTTTCAGGGAAACACAGTACTATTGTTAGGTTGGAAGGAAGACAAATAGGTGGCAAGGAAGTGGCTAAGGTCAGAGAGCAGAAACCAAATTGCAGCTGGGAACCAATTGTAGCTAGGGACCAAATTGTGGCTAGGAACTGTTCCCTGGTGGGAACATACACAGTAAGGAGCTCCTAGTGACCTTTAACTGACCTGGGGACCATTACCATCTAATTAGCATAACATGGGTGAAGTTTTCATGAAGGATTCTGGGGAAGACTCATGCACATAAAGGGAAACTTACAAAAGCAGCCTGTAATGTAAGCCGTTATGTAAACTGTTATATAACCCCAACCTATCAGTCACCCCAAAGGTGGGAAACAGCAACTAATCCTGCCAGGAGAAAAGAGGTACAAAGTAGTAAGCATATAAAAGACAGAGAGTGCTCAGACTTCGGCATCTTTTTGCACTCGCGGAGACAGACTCATTCTTCTCTCTTCTGGAATGTATTTTCACCTTGTGTCATTTTGTGTAGCTTCCTTCTTCACTTTCACTTCATGTAACTTCTTTCTTTTTCCCATAATGAATTGTTTGTGTGGAAATGCTCTGTATCTGTGATCACTCAATCATCGGGTCAACTCAGTACCAGTCCTCACTCTTGACACTGCGAGCTGGGGCACCAAGGAAACAGACAGACAAACCTAACACTCTGAAGCCTATCCCATTCCCTATACCCAACAAACTGAATTGTCTTCTCCTTTGGGTTTTAAAAGTATTTTGCCCATATAGCTAGATAGTAGGTATTCTATTGCATGGGTGTTCATACACATGTCTGCTCCTGGGTGATGAGTTTCTTCACAGGGACCATGTCTTATTCATTTTTGCTTCTTGGTGTACTAAATATGTTAATCTTAGTAACTGCTGTATTCATAAACTCTCCCCAACAGAAACTATTCTGCTGACAGCTCACACTGAGAGGAGCCAGGTTTGGTATCATTTTCCTCCTCTTCAACATTATTTCGGTCATAGGCAGGTACCCAACTCAAGAACAGTCAACCTGTAGGCTGGCTAGCCATTGTTCTTGAGGCTTGATGTAAAAGGTTGAGCTGTTTTACTCTATCTTGAAATTTTGAACTAGAATTTATGAAGAAACCACTAGTTAGTGATGGAGGCTTCAAATATGTATAGAGAGAAGCCATCTAGTAAAATCAGAACTAGAGGGGCCTGATGGAGTTCACCTAACTGCATTATACAATTGTTCCTTTTTCTTCACATCTCGTTCTTTTTTCCTTTCCTTCCTTCCCTTTCTCTTCTTCTCTTTCTTTTTCTTCCTTCCTTCCTCCCTTCCTTCTCTCCTTCTTTCCTTACCTTCTTTTCTCCCTTTCTTTTTCCCTTTCCTTTCCTTCTTTCTTTTAACGATCATACTAATGGTGTGAAGTGGCATCTCATTGCAGTTCTGACTTGCATTTACCTAATGATTAGTGATGTTGAACATCTTTTTATGTGCTATTGACAATGTATTTATCTTCTTCAGAGAATTGCCTATTTAAGTTTCTGCCCATTTTTTAATTGTGCTGTTTGTTTTCTGTTGCTGAATTTTTGGAGTTCTTTATATATTCTGGATATTAATTCGTCACCAAATATATGATTTGTAAATATTTTCTCCCTTTCGTTGGGTTACCTTTTCACTCTCTTAATAATATCCTCTGATGTACACAAATTTTTAATTTTATGAAGTTATATTGATTTTTTGGCTTTGTTTCCTGCACTTTTGGTGTTACATGAAAGAAGTCATTACTAAATCTAATGCCATGTAGTGTTTCTCTATGTTGTCTTCTAAGAGTTCTATATTTTTAGCTGCAATGTTTAAGCCTTTGATCCATTTTGAGTTAATTTTTGTACATGGTGCAAGGTAAGGGGCCAGCTTCATTCTTTTACATGTATATACCAGTTTTCCCAGTACCATGTGTTGAAAAGATTGCCCTGTACCCATAGAATGGTCTAGGCAGCCTTGTAAAGATTGCTTGGTCATATTCAAGGGTTTATTTCTGGGGTGTCTATCCTATTCCATTGATCTACATGTCTGTCTGTATGCTAGTAGCTCAAAGATTTTGTGTGTGTAATCTTTAGGATTTTCTGAATATAAGATTAGCTCAGCCATGAACAATGACCATTTTACTTCATTTCCAATTTGGATACCTACAAAAAGTATTTTTTGTTTGTTTTGTTTTGTTTTGTTGAGCTGTATTTTGTCAAGCAAGAAGGAAGGGCAAAGGAGATGATCGAGACTATAGGAGTAATACATGGAACCCCATGACTTCCTGAAAGCTCTTGTCAACCACTTCCTCTTTGAATTTGGCTTCTGCTGTTTGAACTACATTCCCTACCTATGCTCACT